AATTTTCATTATTATTTTTGTGATTTATGATCCCTTAAAAAAAAATTTAAAAAAAAAAAAGTGGTTGAACCAGTTTGACCCACCGGTTCACCGGTTGAACTGGAAAATTAACCGGTTCAATCCGGTTTGAAACGGGTCGACTGCATAACCGATCCAACTTCAGATTCGGACCGGCTGGACTACCGGTTCCTGGTCCATTAAAACACTGCTTATTAGTTTAAAAGTCTTAATAAGACCTCCCAAAAAAATGCCATAGAAAACTGTAGTAATAATGCTGAACTTATAAATCAAAGCGCCCGTGTTAGAATTTGTGCTATTTGTGTTATATTTTCGGCTTAAAATACTTATTAAGTTTAAAACCAAAGCAAAACTTACAATTTTAACTTAAAATTTCTTCAAAAAGTCCCGTTCTATCCTCATCTATTTAGATAGAAGTCAGGATGAAAAAGAAAAGGCTAGTGTAGGTAACATTTTTTTGGTGCATTAATAGGTAACCTTTTGTAGCTTACTCTTGAACCCATTACTAAAAGAGTAATGATGCATTTTTTATATATTGAAAAGAAATTGAAAAAAAAAAGAAGGAAAATTGAACTTTAGGGAAAAAAATACTTAAAAATAAAAATAATAACACTTTCACTTTCTCTCAAGTTTAAATTTAAAACTCTTCTTTCAGTTTTTCATTTTTAATACTTTCTAAAGCAAAGAGATCATTTTAGAGGATAACAAAACGAAAAATCTTAATTATCCATGAAAAAAAAATTTAAGAATTAACATTTTAAAATATCTAGATAATACTAATCAATGGGTTGAATAAGATAAGCCCAAATCACAGTAGCAAAAAATCACAAATTGTGTACAACTTCCACAAAGTGGCAACAAGTGAATTTGGTTATTTATTTCATCTTTCCTTCCCCTAGTTCAGCCTCAACTCACATCAATGCAACTCATTGCGTGCAAAATTTCTTCACTTTTCAATTCTCAAAAAAAAAAAATCAGCTTTTGGATCCAAAAAGTACTCAAAAGTTAGTTCAAACCCAAAAAACCACACTAACAGTCAACCAACTGAACCAAAATTTTTATATATTGAAAAGAAATTGAAAAAAAAAAGAAGGAAAATTGAACTTTAGGGAAAAAAATACTTAAAAATAAAAATAATAACACTTTCACTTTCTCTCAAGTTTAAATTTAAAACTCTTCTTTCAGTTTTTCATTTTTAATACTTTCTAAAGCAAAGAGATCATTTTAGAGGATAACAAAACGAAAAATCTTAATTATCCATGAAAAAAAAATTTAAGAATTAACATTTTAAAATATCTAGATAATACTAATCAATGGGTTGAATAAGATAAGCCCAAATCACAGTAGCAAAAAATCACAAATTGTGTACAACTTCCACAAAGTGGCAACAAGTGAATTTGGTTATTTATTTCATCTTTCCTTCCCCTAGTTCAGCCTCAACTCACATCAATGCAACTCATTGCGTGCAAAATTTCTTCACTTTTCAATTCTCAAAAAAAAAAAATCAGCTTTTGGATCCAAAAAGTACTCAAAAGTTAGTTCAAACCCAAAAAACCACACTAACAGTCAACCAACTGAGACTACCGGTTCCTGGTCCATTAAAACACTGCTTATTAGTTTAAAAGTCTTAATAAGACCTCCCAAAAAAATGCCATAGAAAACTGTAGTAATAATGCTGAACTTATAAATCAAAGCGCCCGTGTTAGAATTTGTGCTATTTGTGTTATATTTTCGGCTTAAAATACTTATTAAGTTTAAAACCAAAGCAAAACTTACAATTTTAACTTAAAATTTCTTCAAAAAGTCCCGTTCTATCCTCATCTATTTAGATAGAAGTCAGGATGAAAAAGAAAAGGCTAGTGTAGGTAACATTTTTTTGGTGCATTAATAGGTAACCTTTTGTAGCTTACTCTTGAACCCATTACTAAAAGAGTAATGATGCATTTTTTATATATTGAAAAGAAATTGAAAAAAAAAAGAAGGAAAATTGAACTTTAGGGAAAAAAATACTTAAAAATAAAAATAATAACACTTTCACTTTCTCTCAAGTTTAAATTTAAAACTCTTCTTTCAGTTTTTCATTTTTAATACTTTCTAAAGCAAAGAGATCATTTTAGAGGATAACAAAACGAAAAATCTTAATTATCCATGAAAAAAAAATTTAAGAATTAACATTTTAAAATATCTAGATAATACTAATCAATGGGTTGAATAAGATAAGCCCAAATCACAGTAGCAAAAAATCACAAATTGTGTACAACTTCCACAAAGTGGCAACAAGTGAATTTGGTTATTTATTTCATCTTTCCTTCCCCTAGTTCAGCCTCAACTCACATCAATGCAACTCATTGCGTGCAAAATTTCTTCACTTTTCAATTCTCAAAAAAAAAAAATCAGCTTTTGGATCCAAAAAGTACTCAAAAGTTAGTTCAAACCCAAAAAACCACACTAACAGTCAACCAACTGAACCAAAATCAATTTACACAGTCAGATCTATGTATTATCCATGGCCAAAGAGAAATATAATTGCTTTTTATTTGCATACAAAGGTAATAACAACAACAACAACGACAACAACAAAAGACTACAACAATGATGTTCTTTTTTTCCTTTCTTTCTGAGTAAATATACCTCGGAAGGCAAAAGGGGGCCAGATCCCGGCAACCGGTTCAGCCGGTGTAGATGTGAACTTTAAGGGCCAAGATGATAACGGAGTAGAGAGCAAAGAAGATGAGTGTGTGAATGAAAATAGCTTTTCCGTTTGTCTTCATGCTACTGAACTCTAGCTGCTTCCCGTTACCGGGAAAAGAAAAGAGCAACCCCGGTTGAAGGAGCACGAACAGGACCACCCCAACCAACACTGGTGCCCAATCAGCCATTTCCTCTCTCTCTCTCTCACCCACAAAACCAAAAATTCAAAACAAAAACGAAAAATCACAGATCCTTCAGACCCAGCAAAAAAAATTGAAAAATGTGGCTTTGGGTAGAGAAAGTAATGGTAAAGGTGGTGGCTTTAGGGGGAAGGTTGATGGTTTGTGTTCTTGGGATAGGGACTCATTAGTGATGAGATTAATGAAGAAAGAGACACTTCGAGATTTGGAAGCGCAAGAAATGGGTGGCTGTGATTCTCTGTGCCGATACTAGGAAATTGCTTTAGATGACTTTTCGCTTACGTTAGATTTTCGGGTATGGATGTTGTCGGGTTCGGGTCGGGTTACTTGGCCCAGCTACATATGATGCCATGAAACATTGAAATTTGAAACTGATTTTGTGATCACTCTCTCTTATCCTTTTGTCTGTGCTCATTGTAGTTATACTTTATCTTAATTCATTTACTTTTATTCATTCTTGGCAAATATAAAGTTTGTATTTTTTTTTTTGTACTATCAAGTATTAAATATATTTATATTTGTTTAAAATTTAATAAAATATTTTTTAAATGTATATAAAAAATTAATATAAAATTTAATATAAAATAATAATTACAAAATTTAATTGATTAAATTTTATTTTATATAAATTAAAAACTGAATAAAAATGACATAACTATTAAATAAATTTTGAAAAAATCAATTAAAGAGAACAATTAAAAAAAATAGAGCAAGTCAATTAAAGAGAACGGATAGAAAAATAAAACAAGTCAACTAAAGACAACAGAGAGAAAAATAAAACAAGTCAGTGATATTATTATTTACGTATAAGAATTTCAAAAAATAGGAGAATGGAATAGGAACAGTAATACAGTATTATATATGAGCAGTAGTGCAGTATTATTAGGAGAGAAAAGAATGGAGAAGACATGAGCAATTGAGCATAAACAAAAAAAAGAGAAGAAAAACTCACTTGAAAATTCTTGAAACACTTAAAAAGTCACTTCAAACAATCTTCCAAAATCTAATGGGTTTGAATGAGATTATTTTATAAATTTGGTATTTATAAATATCACTAAAAAGTCTTTCAAAATCTCTTTAATACAACAATTCTTTAAAATTTCTAAATTTTTAAGCATCAATGAATTATTTCTAAGTTGTAAAAAGTCTCAAATGAATACCAATAAATTTTAATAAACTCTTTAAAAATCTTGAAAATTTAAATTAAATATCATTAAATTATTTTTAAGTGATATAAAATCCTAATTATATATAAAAAAAAATCTTTTAAAATTCTATAAAATCTTAAACCAATACACCCCTAAAAAAGATATTTTAATATCAAAATCGAGTTCAAACATATTTAATTGTGATCTTTAATAACACCGCCTTTATTGTTGATCCGTGACCACTATTACCGGCTACCACTACACAAGTAAAGCTAAAGAACATAAAGAACCAAAGAAATGGAACCGCCAAGGTTAAGAAAAAGTTGTTTTTGAAAAAAGAAAATAATGCATTCAGCTCATGCGTGCGTGTTTTTGCATGTTTTCTGTGCGTGGTTGGCTGATATATATATTCTGCTTTTGTATCTTCTTTTTCTTCCATCTTCTTTTAATTTTGTTTTCTCCAACTCCCTTGCATAATGGCATAAAGGGGGACAAAAAAGAAATCTGGCTTGTCATTAAGCACTAATGGACAATCATAAGTTTCGTCCACCACACTTTCTTTACATCCTTTAATTTTTAAAATCATTTTATTAGTACAAAATAATTTATTAATTTTTTTATAATTAACTTTTATTACCTTTTAATGTGATTTCTTTTTTAACTGTTTTTTTTATTTATAAGACTAAAACTTATTTAAAGAATTGAATTTAGTATCATTTGAGTCAATGGGTTGCTATCGATTTATGTCTTTGTTTATTGTAATTGAACATAAAAGTCATTTTTAATTTTTATTCTATTGTGGCCATTCTCTAGAACAAGCCTTGCGGGATTATTGACTACCAAAGAAAACGATGCCTTTCTTATCCGGAAAAAGGCACAAAGGGACCCGGATAAAAAGGAGAACAAAGAGATATTAAAGTGAATGATTGATTATTTTTATGCCAAACTTTATAGGATTCCAATTCCCATTGAGGGGTAGAATAGAAAGCCACATAATAATAGTTTAGAACTTCTTTGATCTCTTCAACTTGCTACTCTTCTTTCTTTGTTCTTAGAAGTTTTACAATGAATGATTGGGCTGCTCCACTCATAGCTGCAGCTTTGTTTTGGCTCTTGAGTCCAGGAATGATCTTTCAGTTGCCGGGGAAGAATGCACCCTTTGAGTTTATGAACATGAAGACAACTGTTGCATCCATGTTTGTTCACACGGTTATTTATGGTCTCTTTCTCATGTTGTTCTTCGTTGTTCTTAGTATCCATCTTTATATCTAGACCATGTTACAATAATCTCATCATGTAATCATTGATCAACATGTATGTGCCCTTTTGAATTCACACTTGATTAGTCTTCTTAGTTGGCAACTAATTACTTTCATGAGTAATCTGCTTGGTATTTGTTATTGGAAAGCTAGTGTTTGTTATTGGTAATCTATGTGTGTACAGCTTCTCATGATGATGTTCTTAATACTACCAAGTACCATCTCATGAAGTGAAATATATAGTTTTTTTCTTTTTCTTTTTCTTTTATTTTTTTTTATTTTGCTCCCAATAAACACTACTATTTGGAATTGGATCTTGAATGTGCATTGTTGTTACATTAGTCTTTTTTTATTATTAAAGAAATTCTAAATAAGTTTTGAAATTTTAATTTTGACATCTAAGTTCTTAAACTTAATCATTTATTATTATTTTGGTTAAACAAATGTTAATATATTTTTTTTTACTATAAACGAATGTTAATATTATTACTTATTTCATTTTATTTTAATTTAGAGTGATACCATTGAAAAATTATACTTTTTATTCAATGACTTATTTAAAAAACTAATTTTGATGATAATTTTAGTCTTTTTTTTTTCTCACATATTCTAATTAATACCATTATTTTCCTCTCTTCTCAAAAGTATGGATTTTCAACAATTATTTTATGTTGGGTTGCATTTTTAGTTGAAAAACTAATTATTTGAAAGTAATTTGTGAAGAAAAGAAGTAAAGAGCTTGGCAGGCTAAAAGGAAAAACAATGGCTGTTTGTCTAATTATTTACATATTTTTCCTAAGGTTCTTTTATGCAATATTTTAAGTTTAGAGCATGTATGAATAAATTTATTCAAAGTTACTTTTCAAAGAAAAAAATAAACAAATTTTTCAATAAATTAAGATTAATTTATACACAAATTAATTTTTATTTTTTAAAAAACTATAACTTTTACAAATTAACCTATACATGAGTTAATTTTAAAAATACTTTTAAGATAAATTTACCCCAACATGGTCTTAGTGGGTGTTTGGTTTTCATTTTGAAACGCAATTCTTTCGTCTCTCAATGTTTACATACGAATTTACGTAGAAGCAGCTATTCATTGTTTCAAGTTAAACGTGAAAAACCACGTTAAAACGCGGATGCAAAGAGACGGTTAGTTGCCGTGTGAAATTCAGGTTAATGAATTCTTAAAAGTGGAACTCACTCACTATTCACAATCTGGGTTTTGCAGTGATTTTGTTTTTCAAATCTAGTTTTACGCTAAAGAATTGATTTACACCAACAGCGCGAAGCAGCAAAGTACGGTGCATGGTAAAAACTATAATATCTCATTTAAGTTGTTGGTTTTTTTTTAAAAGTTATTTGTTAAAACAAGTTATAAGTTTAAAATAATAACTTAAACTTATAAATATTTTTTTAAAAAAAAAAATAAACTATTTTTTCATGATTATAATTTAAAATGTATAATTTTTTTAATATTTTTTGTTGATTTATTATATAAAAAAATTAGTTATTTATCTGAAAGAAAATTAAGAACTTAAAAATGCTTTTCAAAAACTTTATATTGACAAATTTTTATTTTAATTATAATAATACTAATATTTTAGTATCTTATTTATAATAAATTATTTTATATAAATATTATGTTTAAATTTGTAAATCATCTTTAGGATTTGTATTAAAAAATATTTTAAATATATAAATCATATTTTAAATTTATTTTAAATATTTTATATTATAACATGATATTATTTTTATTTATTGATAGTTTATTTTAAAAGATGTTAAAATTTAATTCATAAATATTTATGATGAATAAAAAAAATTAAATAAGAAATTAAAAGAAAAACTTTGAAATTACATGTAACTTCATTATATATAATTAAAATTTATAATAAATTATATATATAGCATGTTTAAATATATAAATCTTATTTAAAATACATATGTATACATATTTTTAAATATATAAATTATATTTTAGATTTATAATAAATAATTTATATCATAAAAAGTTATATTTAATATATAAATATCAAAGATAAACAATTATTCATATAGTAGGGTTGGTGCGCGTAGGTCAATAACAAATTTACGTGTTTGACTCATTAAGTTATGGGTTTGTCAAATAAAATTGATTTGTGTGAGAGGCTAAATGTTACTAGGGTTGAAAGTCAATATCAAATTAATTATGTAAATGGACTTATATTATTAAATAAGTGAATGTTCGATTACTAGAAGAGAAAGTCTTTTATTAGAATGATAAATAACGATAAAATAAAATATTTTAATTAAATTAATTAATTTATATATAAATGGATCTTAATAAAAGTAAAATCTAAAAAGTGGTAATCTCATTATCTATTATTATACATGCCATATGCTATTATCCACTTATTAAAGTTATGAGTTGATAACAAAAGTGTAAGAAATATATGTCTAACACTTGACAAAAAAAAAAAAGTGAAATAATTTAGTGTAACACACTCATGGTTATTGAGACAATACAGAGGATCATGTTGCATGATGTAAATCGATACCAAAGGAATGGGACAATAATGATGGTGTGATATCTCAATTTTGTTCAGATTAATATCAAAATTAAAAAATTTAAAAAAACAACAATAAAATAAAAAATAGAAATTTATCTAAAAAAAACATACAAAAAAAAACAAAAAAAAAGAAGAGAGAATGTGCTCCAATAGAAAGAATAGAAGAAGATACACTCATAAAAAGAAATACACTCTAAACTTTTATTTTGGATACTGCAATCAAGATGACTTTTTTTTTTTAATGTTTTTTATAATTGTTATATCAAGATAGGCAATTCAGCTTTTATGCCATGCATGTATGAGGATAGGCCAAGCTAGTTGTTACCTTTGGCAGAATTATTTGGTCTTTTACACCACTCTTCTTCATAAGGTTTGAAACAGACACAAGAACAGGGGGACTATTCACTAAAAAATTCCAACATCTCACATAACGACCTTCTAAGAAAGAAAAAAAAAACCAAACCAAAGCATGTTGTAAAAGATCACAAAAGCTTAAGCACTACACCCATTGTAGGACCCAAGTAAACCTTTTAGATACCATGAAATTCACCTTAAGAAGCAAGGTCATTTGTAGTGATATTCGTTATTGACAAATCTTAATTGTCGTTGATAAAAGATATTGTTTCAACAAGAAAATTATCGTTATATATTGTTACAAGAATAATTCTTGCAAAAAGTTTTTGCAATAATATTTGATGTCATTGTAATTTTTGCATAATTGTTGCTATCATTAGTGATTTGTACTAATTACTAAAGTCATTGTCATATTTTACACATTTTAACCACTATTATTGTTACAAAAGACACATTTCTCATCAGTCAAAATTGTTAGAATAATATAACTTATTTTAACAATTAATATTAATGCAATTGAATATATTTTCTTAACGATTAAATTTATTATAATAAAATATCTTTTCTCGACATAATATGTCTTCCTTAATTATAGCTAATATTTCAGTGAAAGACATAAAACTAAAATGATACTTTGGAATATGATCAACTTTCACTTTTGTCAACTTTGTGTTGGCAATAAAACTAAGTTTGTACTTATAATTTGTAATTTTGAATTTGATATCATTTTTGCCTACCAACAAATTTTTAATGAATAAGGTAGTTCCTTCTTCTAAAATTGGCTTCAACGTAGGTATCAACGCCTTTTTGACGAAAGCATGAATTTTGATAGACTATTAAAATAATATTCATATAGTTAACAAATGGTCTTATGAATTACAATGAAAGCATAAATAAAATAATTTTTTACAAATAAAATATATACTTTTTCATCTAGAAGCAGAATCTCAATATTCTTGACTTCTTTATTTGGATTGTTGTACTAAGTAGTGGTATAAATGGGTTAGGTTGGATTTGATCGAGTTTGGATAAATCCGTTACTTGACCCAATAAAAAATTAACAGGTTGGATTGTGTAAGACCCGTATGGATTCTTTCTTTTCTCAACCCCCT